GAGGGGGGTGCTGGTTCTGGGACCCGGGGTCCTCGGTGCTGACTCTAGGGCCTTAGGGAACACAGAAATGGCTTTCCTTGGAGAGCGGTTCAGCCAGGGCAGAGGGAGGCTGGGGCAAGGCAGTATTGAGGTGTCCAGGACCATGGAACTCTTCCTCAGAAAAGAAGCCCCCAGCAGTTTTTATTAAGCCCTCTGTCTCAACTCATCCACTCGTTCAACAGCTATACTTATGGAGTGCACCACTCCCTGTGCCAAGTAGGATATATACAATGCTGGGCAAACAGACCCAGTCTCACCCCTCATGGAGTTTACTGTCTAGTGGGAGATAGACGTTAACCCCATTATAACCCATATGCACCAAATTGTAGCAGTGATAAATATTGTGTAATATTTTAAGGAGTGGTGCAGGGTACTTTGAGAGCCTTTTATGGGAAGCTGACTTCAGCTTGGGGTCAGGGAAGGTTTCCTTCTGGAAGTGAGGATGGAGTGAGTAGGACGGGGGGACGGCATGTCAAAGGCAGAAGTGAGCTGCGTGGAGTGTGTAGGGTTGGCGAGGAGGCAGGCCTGGAGGTGGAGACTACTTGCTGGAGAAGAATGGGGTTGATAGGGGATTGTGCTTGGAAGGCTCAGGAGTTTGGGGAGCAGGGAGAGGCTAGAAGCAGAGGGACAACATGGTCCTGTTGGCTGATTAGAAAGTTCCCTGGATGCAGCATGGAGCAGGAGCTGGACAGGAAGTTGCTATCAGTGGGGAGACTAGATGAGTCTAATTGCTGTCCAGATGAAGGGAGCTGAGGCAGTGACCAGGGCAGAGGTTGGGGACCTGCCTGGGACAAGGCCTGGGACCCCCAGTGGGTTCTGCCACAGCCCACAGGGCTGCCCTTCCTTTCTGGAGCTCACTCTTAGCCCCTCCAGAGCAAGTCATTCTTGGTCTTAAGGTGCCAGGCCCAGGAGTCAGGACTCAACTTCCGGTCTCAACTCCTTCTAGTCTCTGGGCCTCAGTTTCCCCATCAGCAAGCACAATGAGACAGGTGGACTCAACAGTATCTCCAATTCCTTCTGGCTTTGAGGTTCTACGATTCTGTGATTTTATGGTTCCAATTCTCTCTCCATTCTCTCTCTCCCCACACCTCTTTCTTTCTGTGTATATAATTATTTCCCTGCACTCCAAGACAAACTCAAATTACATGTCGGCAAAATGATTATTAAATCTCAGAGAGAAGTCACAGATTTCAAGACATCCAAAGAGAGAGGCAGGTAGCATGGGGCCTGCCCCACACCTGCCCTCCTCCCTGGGCCCATGAAGTGAAGCACTAGGGAAGGGCAGTGGGGTTTTTGGACAGATCCCGGCCCCCACATAGAAGCTGGGTACCCTTGGGCATATGGCTTCCTTTTCTGATCCTCATTTATGTCATTCATTCAGGGGTTGTGACCTGTCCCACCTAATAGACTGAGCTGGATTTGCCTTGAGCCTCATAGCCATTTGGCTTTTAGATCCTATTCTGGATGGAGACGGCCCAACTTTAGGCAAAATAGGTACTACCCATGTGCTGGATCTTGAAAGGCCCAATATATCCCATTATTCTGCCAGAGGCACTGGAAATCTCCCCATCAGAGTGTCATTCCTTTGGTGAAGAACTGATTCTGGATTTGCCTTGAGCCTCATAGCCATTTGGCTTTTAGATCCTATTCTGGATGGAGACGGCCCGACTTTAGGCAAAATAGGTACTACCCATGTGCTGGATCTTGAAAGGCCCGATATATCCCATTATTCTGCCAGAGGCACTGGAAATCTCCCCATCAGAGTGTCATTCCTTTGGTGAAGAACTGATTCCTGTCACTCCTGAGCCTGCTTCCAGGGGCCTGGTTATGTGTTAGTGCCCACTGGTGCATAGTGGATATTGGTAGTCTACATTGTTCTACATGCTTTCCAAAGTGTATTAAGTCATTAAATCCTCACAGCAGCCCTATCAGGTAGGCACTACTAGAGTTCTCCTTTGATGAAGAAACCCAGGCATAGTGAAGTCGAGTGACTTGGCCAAGGTCACACAGCTGGTCAGTAGTGAAGCTAGGGTTGGACCCCAGGTCTGGCTCCAGAGCACAAGTGTTTGGCTGTCCTGACTCCACAGTTTAAAACACATTCATATGTGTTAAATCTTCATCATCCTGGGTGAGGAGGGAAGTGTATCCCATTTTACAGGGCAGGAAACCAAGACTTGAAGGGAGATAATCATCTGCCTAAGGTCCCTCAGCCAAAAGGTGGCACAATTGGGACTTGAACCCAGGCCTCCCTCTCTCCCTTCCCTCCATACTCCCAGGGTGGAACCAGAGAGGGACACGCTAATGAAGAAAGGAAGAGCTGAATGTGAGGGCCTCCTGAGCAGGTGACGAGCAAGGGCTTCTTGGGTGGTGGGAGTGTGTCCAGTCCTGAAGGCTTTCAGACACTGCTGCATACACCCTGGATCTCCCCGGCTGCTGGGCCTGAGGCACAACAGCCTGGCCTCAGCTGACCCTGTGAGATCACGGCCAAGTCATTCAACTCCAGATTTCTATTGGCATTTTCTCCCCATCCACAGCAGCAGACTCTAAACAGCTCTCACTTGATCAGTGGAGTCTCATTTGAGGGTGCAGCTGCCCCAGAGGTGGTAGAACCTCTCCTGAGGCTGGCAATGCCTTGAGTTGCTGTGTCTTCACCCAGCTTAAATCCCCAGTACCCCAGGCTCGTGGTTTTCACAGCATGTCCTTAGACCAACAGCAGCAGCAGCAGCACCTGGGAGCATGTAAGATCCACACCTTCTCCAGCCCCACCCCATACCTGCAGAATCAGAAACTCAGGGGAAAAGCTGAGGCACACTCAAGTCTGAGGACCCCTGCTCTAGGCTGAAGCTCCCACAGCCCTCAGGTGCAGCTTGGGCTGGGCAAGGGCTTCTGGGGAATGGGAGCTTCTCTGAGGCAGAGGGAGTCATCCTAGGGAGGGGCGCACAAAAAGGGGCGACAATATTGGAGGCGGGGCCCTCTCCCCACTGCCTTCCTAAGCCCAGCAATCACAGCAGCACCTCACAGTGGTGTGCAGTTTTGGTGGCGGAGCTGTGGAGGTGGGGATATCAGCCTTCTTAGGGACTAGCACCTCAGACTCTTCATCTATAAACTCAGGAGATAAGGATCTCATGCATGGGGGTGAGCACTTGAGAGTTGGGGTGGAAAGCCTGACACATACTAGGTGCTCAGAAATGAGAGAAGATGTCACCTTTATCCCCAGTGCTTCGTGGAGGCCTTTCACTGCCCTTCTCACTGTTCCTTATGAAGCTCTGGAGGTAATCAGGGCTGGGATTCTCATACCCGTGTGGTGGTGAATGAAGTTGAGGTCCAGAAAGGTTATGTGACTTGCCCAGAGACACAAAGAGCAATGTCTAAGCTAAGTCTGGAACCTAGGTGTCCTGAGTCCCCCAGCTCTTCTACAGGCCTCAGCCAAGTGGTTCCTCCACTCCTGGCCTGAGGCCATGGGGAGTGGGCATCCCTAGGCATGGACACCCCCAAACAGCTTCTCAAACTCACCTCTAGAAACACAGAGTCCTAGGATCTTAGAGGTGGAAGAAACCTTAAAGATAAACTAGTTCATCCAACCTCCCCACTTACAGAGTAAGGAACTGAAACCTAGAGAGGGGACATGTCACCAGGTCGCCTGCATCCAGCCCCTGGCACCTGACCAAGTAGTCTTCCCACTGACCCAGAGTACTCCTGCCATCATTTTCGCCCTGACTTTCCCCTTTCACTTTGGGGCACTACCCACCCCCACCCCTCAGCAGACATCCAGCACATCCCTGGACAGCAACAGTCCTCAGTAAACGTTTGCTGAATTAAGGACGCTAATTAATTAATTAATTAATTAATTAATTGGCTGCTCTGACCCCAGGTGAGGAACACTGGAGAGGTGCTGGGAGCTCAGTTCTGGTCTTGATGACTCATTGTATGTCTCTTTGTCTCTGGGTCTCTGTTGCTCTGACTCTTGGTCTTTCTACTTCCTTTTATTACTTTGCTGTATTGTTTCAGCCTGGATATTCTGTCTCCCTTTCTCTTGTTCTGTCCTCTCCCTGTGTCTCTGACTGGGTCTCCCTCATTTCCTTACTGTCTTACCCTCTGATTTATGTGCTGGTAGGGCCCAGGCAAGCAGTGTCCTAAGGCAGGGCTGCCTGTATGGAGGCCGAGGGCTTCGCTTTATGCAGGGCAGGGCAGGGAGCAGTGACCTCTGCAGCGGAGCTGCCCCCTGAGTGCACTTAACAAGCAGCTCTGGGCCCAGGACGGATGATTTCTTTATTGCTTAACGAATACTGTTTGCTTTATTCCCTCTCCCAACAAGCCAGCATTGATCTCTGCTCATCAGTGTGCAGGGAAGGGGAAGGAAGGAGGAGGCTCTGGGGCATGGGGGTGGGGGTAGGGGAAGGGAGGGTAATCCAGCCAGTGCCATACACCTTGTGTTCTTGTCCTGAGGGCTGGTGGACAACCACAGGGGCCAGTTGCTGACAGGCTGTAGGGACTGATGCAGGTCTTCCTCACGGTCACCTTATATCCTTTTCTCTCTGAGTGTGGGAGACTGCTCATCTCTCCAATGAATGGGTTTGCTGGAGTCCCTCAGCTCCTCTTAAATGGCCCTCGCTCAGTCAAATGAAGGTCAAGCTCCAATCACCAGAGCTGCCCCCCAGAACAGCAGCTGTGTTTGGGAGCAAAGGGTATGTGAACAGATGGGGTGCAGGGCTGGAAAGCAGCTCCCTCCGCCCCCTGAGGGACTGAAGAGCAGGCTTTGGGAATGGCTGAAACAAGCTCTGTCCACCCTCAACAGGACAGACAAGCCTGGGCTTCAAGGCCAGTCACCACCCTGTAGGGTTGCTGTCCTGTAGGGTCACCAGCCAGGGCATCTTCCAGGGTGGGGTGGAGGCACACTCACACCTAGGTGATGCCAGGCCCCCGCCCAGCGCCTCTCATCTCCTCTTCCCTTCCCTGGCCAGGTGGTGAGCCAGATCGACAAGCTGACCTCAGACTTCGACTTTGAACTGGAACCAGATGACTGGACCACGGCCACTGTGAGCAGCACCTCTAGCAGCGACAAGGCGGGCGTGGGCGGCCCATTTGATCTGGGCCACCTGGACTTCATGACAGCCGATATCCTCTCGGACAGTTGGGAGTTCTGCTCCTTCCTGGATGTCTCCACCCCCTCAGACTCAGTGGATGGCCCCGAGTCGACTCGGCTGGGGGCTGGCCCTGACTACCGGCTCATGAATGGTGGCATGCCCATCCCCAATGGGCCGCGAGTGGAGACCCCGGACTCCTCCAGCGAGGAAGCCTTCAGCGCTGGCCCTGCAAAGGGCCAGCTG